CCTTTAGACTTAGCTTGTTTTCTATCACTTGCCAAAACCAGGGCGGATACCCTTGTAAGGGTATTCGCACCAACAGCTTACCGGACCATATTAAGCGACGTCCCCGTCGCTTCGTAGGATCAAAGCTATCAATTCAACCACACTCCCAAAAGTGTTGACGAGCAGGGTACCAATGCGATTGGCCGACAGACCCAGGGTTGAGGCCTCCAATAATCCATGCCAAACACAACTTTATTCTGCCAGGATTCCAACCTGGGTCTCCGTCACCCTGACATTCGGACGTCGGGATACTCCTCATTGTACTACAGCATAAGTTCCATTGGATCTCTTATCGTCCTCTCCCCTGTGCCCTAGACAACCGCCGACTTCTCGTTGTGTGCCCCCAACCTTTCCCCTGAAACCCAAGGTCGTGACTAGGGGCGCGGGCCCTAACCGAGACCTTTGAAGGCATTCCCTCGCCCTCCTCTCAAAAATCTTCACATTAGGCACATGTAAATATACCGTATAGATCTCTACATAAACCTCCCTGTAGTCTAGTACAAGAGGACTAGGTCTCCATCTTGACCCACTATAGTCTGGATGATCATTCCAGAACTACGGCCCACCGCATTGTTATTTCAGCGGTAGTGCCTTCGCGGGTTGCGCCACGATAGGCTGTTCCTGATAAACGTTCAATCAGGACTTCCTCAAAAGACTCATATGACACGACTCTTATCCCACGCCTCTCCGCAGGAGTAAAACCCTCCTAGGCGTCCACACCCCTTTAAGTCTTTACTCCCTTGGACAGACACAGACCCCCTGCTCAGGTTGTGCCAAACAGCGGCCAACACTAAGGGTTTCGCCTTAGTGATACTAGTTATACCCCTAGCTGGATCTCTTATAAATGTCCAAGATTAACACAAGCGGTCGGGCGGTGTGTCGCAACAATACAAGCCTACTGCGGGACTTCGCATAGACCTGTCGCACATAAAGGTATTTACTAGTCTCTCTGTGGGACAACACAAATGGAGCACGACAACCTCTCCACGATCACAAAACAAAATCACCGCCTGATTCACAAGGCCGTGGCCTCCCAGCTTGATCAGAGCAAGAAAGTCACACATCTTGACGACATCTCTCAAAATGCACCATTTGCGACATCCAAAAATTTCATTAATAGTCACACAAAATTTGGTCCTTCTCATCAGTTTTTATTACTCAAAGTCACCCTTCCATTTATCAATCTTATTAACCATCTCACATATAGAAGAGGTCTCACTTCAATAGGTCTCTCATTCATCCCTTTTTTTCTAGGATGAACTTTCTCGCGCTTCCGAATAGATAATGGACAACCTTTCCATTCACAGGTGTCCCACTCATCATATGATCGATATAAAAAGACCAACTTATGGGTCTTCTGCACAGCTCAACAATGAAGCACTCACCATACAAACATTCAAGATCCTTACATCCTCTCACAAAACAGACTGCGCTTCCTTGCCTTATACTCGGCCCTCTCATCTGCCCATGGGCAGATCGCACGAGTATACTGGCGAGTAGGCAGTTCACATCCATTCAAAGTTACAAGGTACAAGATACATCGGGTATTTTCTCGCGCATATTTCACACCAAACCATCATCCATCATGCCAGGTCCACACGAGTGAGTGTGAGAGTGATTGTCATACACAACAAGTAGTCCCAAAAAAAAAATCTCAATATAATATACACTCAGGGATAAAATATCCCATATGAAATGTCTCCAATATACATTCAGGGGTAAAATATCATGTAAAAAAAAAAAAAACGTCTCCACACTGTGACTCACTCAACTCACTCAAATCCACACTCACACTGATGCCGTTCTCAAAATACAAGTTGGGTCTGTCTCTCGAAGGTCAGGGTGTAGGCCACCTAAGTATGTACATGCCTCATCTATCTTGTCCTGGCCCTCAAGATGGAGACTCAACAAAAACCCAACCCAAACTGCCCGACAAATGCAAGCAACACCTAGGTCTATAGGATGTCATCGAATCCTAACTCTAGTCCTATACGCAACATGTTAACCATATAGGTAACTCAGTCCTGGTCGCTCATCTCCTCCTCGTTTTGCCTATATAGTTGAGCCCTACCCCCATCTGCAGATCTCTCTACCCTCTTGCCCTGTCTATCATACATTCTGCCCCCTTCCTCTGTAACCTTTCCTTCAGCCTTGTCCTTTAAGAACTTAGGACATTGCAATACTCGATGCCCCTCCTTTGTACAGAAGAAGCAGGACGTATCGAACCACTTCCTGGACATTTTCTTTCCTCTCCGAGACCTTGACGATGATGGTGCTTCGCTGGCCTCCCTGCTCAGCTCATGGCTCTGAGGCATATCCAAAGGCTCCTCTCCTGTCTCCACCTGCTGGGTATTCGGCCCTGGTCGATCCTTAATCCCCTCTGGCCCATACTCAGGTGTGCTCAACCTCTGGAGCCCGCCCGCGATGACACCCTCCGCCTCAATCCCCATCTCTCTCTCAAGAGGCTCGTCTATCTTCTGTCCAGGCGAAAACAAACTCGCCTCCTTTTGCATCGAGTGTACTGCCTCAAGGAGCACGTCCAGGGGTCCCTCTGCTAGGCCTTGAGCTGACTCACTGCTAGATGGTGGTAACCCCTCCTCAACTGCCAAAAGTACGACTGGGTCTGCCGCCGCTACAAGTAGCGTCGCGAGCTCAGTAGGGGCTCTGAACTCGAAGGCCTCTCTCTCTGCCTCCCTTTGGGCTCTCGCCTCCTCTGGCTCCACGATAACTCTCCCCATGGGAGGCTCCTGGCGAGGCTCTGCTGCAGATGACTGTCCTCGCAACCCATGTCCTGACTGCCTCTGCTCTCCTTGTCGGCTGCTCTCTGGCTTGTCCACCTTTCCCTGAGTTTGTTGCCTCAGGCTCTCGATGATAGTTGCCTGACTGGCCACCAACTCCCTGAGTTCCTGGATTTCCACCTCCATAGCCTCCAGGCGTACTCCATGTCCTTCTTCCTTCTTCTTCCCTGCCAGATCGCTCTCCAATAGCAAGTGCCGGTCAAAAGTTGTCTTGGCCAGGAACTTGATTTTGCGATCCAACCTTTCTTCTGCCTTCCTTGCTACCCCAAACCCGGCTCTGGTCGGCGAGGGAAGCTCCTCTCCTCTCTGCTCCCAGAAGTCCCTCCACATCTCTGGGATTTCCAGGCTCCTAGCTGGCTCGCTGGGTGGTTGACCTGGGAGTGCCCCTACTGCCTCCAATCTTGGCCTCTCTTGCCATATCTCTTCTATTCTCATGGTCCTTCTCGCCCTCTTTTCTTCAGCCGTTTCTCCAGCTGGCGCCCTCTCCCTCGTGCGGAGGTGGACCCTCTTTGGGATCTCTGCCTCCACCTCTTTCTCGGGCTGGCACGGCTCCTGGCGCGGCTCTGCAGGTGCTGGCTCCTCCAGGTCTGGGTTCTCCAGGGCATGAGCCGCTAGGTGTCTGTCAATCAGGGCCAAGGCTTCTCTCCTCACAGCGGCAGCCTCTCTTCTCCTTTCTGCTCTTCCCTCCGGCGAAGGAGCCTTTTATGATGAAGGCAACGGGGCCTCTTCTCCCTGCAACCTCTCTGTTGCCTGGCGAAAGCTCCCTGGGGCATCCCCAAGTCTCAAACCCACCGCTGGCGTCTGAGGGGGCGTGTCCTCTTCAACCTCTATCACTTCCTTCCCTGCACGTCTCCCCTCATCGCCCAGCCCTCTCTCTTGCCGAGTATCCTGGACCTCCTCCCGTGGCATCCCCTCTCGTGGTACCTTCTCTTGTGGCACCTCCTCTCGTGGCACCTCCTCTTGTGGCACCGCCTCTGCCTGTTCTCCACACTCCTCACCCCGAGGCGACACTCTCCACCGAGAGATATCCAAATGCGCCTCCAACTCCCTCAAGGGCTCCTCAGACGTTGGCGGCTCCTCCTGTGTGCGTGCTGGCGACCTCCTCAGTCCACTCTCAGTAAAACGATGGAACTCCACTGGTCCCAGTCCACACTCAGGATACGACCCTCGCTCCTCATCCTCAGGCTCCGGCTCCTCCTCCCTCCTGGCTAGGGCCTTCCGTCCCCCTCGAGATGACCTTGCCTCGCTGGGCTCAAGGTCCCTCTGACTCCTGCTCCTCTGGCGCCTCTCAACTCGGGGCCGAGGCGACTCTGGCCGTCGAAAGGCCTCCCTCAGGTGTGCCCTGCAGCTCTCCCTGTCCCGGGCCATGTCTCTGACCTGCCTAACCAGCAGTCTTTCCGCCTTCCTGGTCCAAAGTGGTAGTATCTGCATCCAATCGTCTCTCGGTATACCTTGCCCTTGCATGAACCATTCAAAAGCGGGGATGAAGTCCGACGCATTCCCAACCTCCAGGCGGATCGGCATGCCATCAGGTCCCACAGGCGAGGGTCGCAGCTCCTGCATCCTCATCTCCACCTCTGACCTCGTCGTCGCCTCCCTACGGATCTGTGCGACGGGCCCCTTGAATCTGCCGACTCCCCTCAACCTCTCAATCTCTTGGGTCACGGTCCAGCCCATACGCCGCGCATGCTCCCAGAAACTGTCCAGGAATAGCTCGATGTCGCCACCATCGTACTCCGGAGTGCTCTCTCGATGGCGAGGTCTATGCCGCTCGTAACCTCCTGATGCGCCCAACGGCCTCCGATGCGTCCGTGTCCCCTTCCTCCTCTTGGCATAGCTGTCTTCGTAAAGTCAGACCTGCACAACAGGCGAAAGAGACAACAGACACACATTGGGGTAAGCAAAACAGGTGATAGTCAAAGCAAGCTCAAACCAGACCATACTCAAGCAGCATGCAACCTATCTAACCTACACAACCTATCGCTTATATTCTAAAGGTAGTCAGATCATCTGTCTTACCTCCTGTTTCGCCACAAATTTCTTCAATCGCATTCAAGATATTCAATCCTTCCACTCAGTCCCATTCAGCTCCTCAATCTGGTACGCTCCAAAGTCTCCAACCGGTATGATCCGGTAGGGACCTAACCACCTCTTATTGAGTTTCTTGGACCACCGCTTCTCGAAAGATGAATCGTAGAGGAGCACGACGTCCCCAACTGCCAAGGGCACTTTCCTCACCCGCGCAGACTGATCCCATCGAGCCTTATCATCCATACGGCTTCTCGCCACCTGATCAGACGCCTCCTGGATCCTTTCTTCTATCGCCCCTATCTGCCGTGCCCGAATATCGAGCAACTCTTCGAATGATAGGCTAACTTTCAGATCCTCGCGTCTCCATGTCTTAAGAAAGCTCTCGACAGGGAAGGTGGCATGCCTTCCATACCATGCGTCGCTGGTACGTACTTGGTGGATCTTTTTACGGTAATGTTCTCGACAAAGAATGTCCCCCTTAGGTACCTTGGCCATTGATTAGGCCTACCTTCGGTCCACTTAGCCAGGAGGTTCGTAATGGTACTGTGTCCTCTCTCCACGGGAGCATTTGCCTGGGGGTGCGCGGCCATGGTGTAGTTGGTTGCGACACTATACCTTGATAACAATTCCTGCACTTCCTGGCAGGTAAACTCCGATCCCCTGTCCATTACGAATTCCCTGACGAAAGGATAACGCAGGTAGTACTCCTCGATGCAGCTAACCAAGACTGAACCAGTCTTGGTACGGATGGCACGCCCATCTACAAAGCCCAGACAAGTTATCGCGCGCATCGAAGATATAATTATAGCCTTGATCCCCAAGCGGCATGAAAAGTAGGTCGACATGCACTACAACCCCCACCTCCCGCTCTAGCCTTGGATGCAACGGCTCTCCTTGCCTTAAACGGGATCTCTCCTGACAGGGTACGCAAGATCGACATAATTCCCCGATCATGTCCATCATTCAATCCCAGTAGTACAACTCACTTATTTTGGCATACGTGGCTTGTACCCCTCGATGCCCTCCTGCAATGCCGTCATGAAGTGCTGCTATGACGTCAATCTGACAGTTTCTACCGCAGACGACTCTCTTGGGATTCCCCACTTCTCTTCTTACGAAAAGGTGGCCGTCTCGTACCAAGTAACGCTGCAGCATCCTCTGAGCCCTATCGCTCGCGTCCCTTAGTCGTACTTCGCAAGACAAAAGGAGTCCCAGTTCTAGGTAGATCCCGTCATACTCCTCTGCACGAAAGGCCTCCTTAATTTCTCCTTCCTCGAACTCGTCCTCCTGGCTCTCGAACACTTCGTCCACATTCCCTGATGGGTTCAACGAGCCGAACTGGTCGAGGCTTTCTTGCAATAACGTGTTGACGTGGAGATACATTCCTCCCATCAGGTCCTCATGCCGTTCTACCTGGCCTGGTCCTTCCTCGATCGTCCTCATGTCCTCCACCAGACTATGCGAACTAGCCAGCGCCAACTCCATCATCCACTGAACATCCTTACCACCCCGGGGATCTTCTTCCTCAAAAAGCTTAAGGACTAGCTCCGCCTTCCATTCATATCCACTCGGCGCTTTCCAGATAGGATGACCCACACAACCGGGCACTCGCGGCGACCACTTGTGAATGTGGAGGCGGACATCTTCCTCTTGATCCAAGAATTCATCAACTGGGGGCGTATTCACCACCGCCTCCCCTTCTTGACCATCCCAGTTGATACGACTCAGCCTGTCCGCCCAGTTCTTGTTTCCAGAGATCCGTTCTAACTCAAAATTAAACATCCAGATGTACGTCAACCACCTGACAACTGTTGGATCCGATGGAACGTAATTCCTGCGAGAGTAGGCGAGGGCGGTCGGGTCCACTCTCAATATAAATCTCCTGCCAAAGATGTAGTTTCAGAAGATTCGCAGACAATGGAGGACGGCGAGGGTCTCTCTCTTGAACTGAGAATAGTTCCTCTCGGTCGTACAGAGAGTCCGACTCTCAAACCTCAAAGGCCTTTTTTTTCCCTCCGTGTCTGCCTGGATTAAAACTCCACCCAAGGCAGTTGGTCCCGCATCCGTTTCAACGATGAAGGGCCTTATTTCCGTGGCGTCATAGTCTGGCGCCCCCAACACCAAACCCCCTTCTCGGAATTCTTCCTCTATTCTGGCCACTACCTCTTCCTGCTCTTCGCCCCAAACCCACTCCTGATCCTGACGAACTAACTTTCTCAGGTGTTCAGTCTTTGCGGCAAAGTTTTTGACGAAGACCCTCCTGAATCCGCACGTCCCGAGGAAGCTCCGGACATCCGTTATTGAGTGGAATGGAACTCGCCGTTCAGTAATCTTGTCCGTCTTCTTTATATCAAGTCGTCGGCCCTTCCCTCATACAGTGTCTGGATTTGGCCCCACTCGCCTTGAGATTATGTTCTTCGAGCAAGGTCAGGACCTTTTCAAGGTCCTGGATATGCTTCCAGACAAAACGCCTCACCCCTGGCAAGACTTTGTCACTCTCCTTTACTGGTGGCCCTTTCACTGCCAAATCATCAATATATGGCTGAGTGATATGTGGGCTGACTTACTCCATGACCCGAATAATGGCTCGTTGGACCATCGCTGCTGCATTGGTCCATCCTTGCGGAGCCACATTCATGTGGATTAATCCTCGAGGCGTATGCATAGCTGTCACTGGCCTGTCCGACCGATAGACCAGAAACTGGTCATAATCTGTGTAAAGGTCTATAAGCGAAATTATAGGCCTTTCAACACAGGATTCCGACAGCGCGTCCGCGTTGGGCAACCCTCCTGCATCTCGCACAGTCACCGCGTTTAATCTCTGCAGGTCTTGCACCCACCGCAGCATCCCGTTAGGTTTGATAAAACAAAACCACACGGACGCATACAACCCACTTGAGTAGTCGGCAACATGCGTGCGTATCTTGTCGTCGAGGTAATCCACCACTTTCTTCTCCTCGTTAGGATTATGATATCGCGCCCCTCTTAGATTCCATGGTTCATGCGACACGGTATGGATGCGGATCATAGGTATCTTGTTCACATCCAATCTGCCACGCTCCTCGTCGTTAAACGCATAGGCGCGATGCCTCTTTTTCATTAGCTCTACCATCAAGGTTCGTTCCTGAGGCAATAGGAAGTCGAGCTCTCCTATGATCAACTTCTCCTCATTCCCTTTGTTGATACGACATAGCTCTGTTGTGGCTTTCTCCTTCATCTGCCGTATCAACCCTCGCTCTCGCTCATAGTACACCTCCTCGTCCTCAGTAACGAGGACGTGGACTGGATGACACTTCTGATCTACCGTCTTGTACCGCCTTTGGGAACCCTGCTTGAGCCGCCCCCTAAAAAAGGCCGACTCACGGATTGCGCTTGCATCAGTGTAGGGTTTCTCCTACCATCCGGAAGACGATATACCAGCTCCAATCTCCCTGGCTCGGGGTATTCTAGGACCTGCTCCCTCAATGCCCGGATGGCATCCGGATCTGTCATCTCATGTGCGGCCACCATATCCATGGCCTTTCCCAGGTCCGATAGGCTGAGGGAGAATGCTTCAACCCTCTGTTCCTCTTCTCGCTCCGCCCGGAGCCGCCGGCGCTCGCCCTCCGACTCTTCGATTGTGAAAGACCCTGAATTGGGCCGGTTCCTTATGCTTTTCGGCACGGTATTCCTGCAGGTGATCACCTCATAATACCCGCAGGGAGAGTCGCATAGGAGGAGGATCAAGGTCCCGTCATGCTTATTGAATATCATGGTTTTCGTCCTGCTAAAAAATGACCTCCCTAGGAGGATTCCGTGATCCACGTCTGGCATGACGAAGAAGCATGCCCTGGCTTTTACCTTCCCAACCTCGATGAACACATTCGAGGTTGTCCCACACAACACGGCCCTGCAACTTGCCCCATGTAGAATGCCACAGTCAGATCGGTCTATATCCAGTGCGAACTTGATGTCATCCGCCTCCCGGATTATATTCATCTCCGCCCCTGTGTCCACCATCGCCGTACACTTGGAGCCCTTCACTACCAAATCCAGTGTGCTGCAGGCCACACACTTCCAATCCATCTTCGTGCCCGACTCTGCCCACTCCGCCTTCTTAGGCAGGATCGTACCCAGATGGACGTTGGGCACCAGACGCCGCGAGAACCTCCCATTCAATCCATCGCGGAGCTTAGGGGCTAACGCTAGGATCTCCTTCAAGGTCATGAGGTCGTTATGTCCTTCTAACAACCTAGCAATCACCTTCTCCACGTCGAACCCTTCTTCCAACCGAACCACGTATTTCTTTTTTCTGGGCGGTACGTCGCGAAGGATCGGCTCGGTCTCTTCTCTGGCTTCTTTCTTCTTAGCCCTTTGCTCCGCCCTCTGATCCTCTTCTTGGCGCAACCTTTCATCTTCTTCTTCCTCATCGTCATCATCCTCCACTTCCACTACCTTTTTCCTTCTTCCCGGCCCAGGCTCTCTCTGGGGAGGTTCTTGGCTGGTCTTGGCCTGATTTCGCGTTCGTGCTGCCTGCGCCAGCCGGGCCTGAGGGGTAAGAGGTCCCATTGTCACCCCTGATCGTGGGCCCGATCCTACTATATTTACCCCGGGTCGCCCGGCCGCTGACTCTGGGCCGGAATCATACAGGAACACCTTGGGGATGTTGGACCTCCATTCCCTTACCCCTTCACAGAAATTCACCAACTTTCGCTGGTACCTCCCCATCTTGTCCAGCAAGTCCTCCATTTTTCCCAGCAAGGCGGACGGGGGTTCCATCTTTTCTTCCTAATTTTTATTATCCGACTCGACGATTATGGGTTTTCCCCTCTTATCTCCTGCTCGTCGCTCCTGAGTTACTTCCTCATCGCTCCCTACTTCCTCTACCCCAATTGGTGGTCCTTCCTTTTCCTGCCATAGCGTGAACATGTCGCCCGGCCGCTGACTCTGGGCCGGAATCATACAGGAACACTTTGGGGACGTTGGACCTCCATTCCCTTACCCCTTCATAGAAATTCACCAACTTTCGCTGGTACCTCCCCATCTTGTCCAGCAAGTCCTCCATTTTTCCCAGCAAGGCGGACGGAGGTTCCATCTTTTCTTCCTCATTTTCATCCTTCGACTCGACGATTATGGACTTTTCCCTCTTATCCCCTGCTCGTCGCTCCTGAGTTACTTCCTCATCGCTCCCTACTTCCTCTACCCCAATTGGTGGTCCTTCATTTTCCTGCCATAGCGTGAACATGGCAGGGGGTGGTGGCCCGGCTGCCGCCCTTCGTTGGGCTTCCGCTCTCACTCCCCCGAGCCTTCTGTCGATGAATTTCCCAAACTGATGATAAATGTTCTCGTCCATAGTGGAGGAAATCAGCCCGCTTTTCTCGTCCTCCCGCCTTATGTTACAAAACCTTATACTGTGAATTTGTTGGTCACAATGCTGGCAGATGACCGACCTCCAGTTAAAACGGGGCCTCCCATACCCTTGACTTCCCTGATCCCCCTGGCCTTGATACCCTTGGCCTTGGTATCCCTGGCCTTGATTCCCTTGGCCTTGATACCCCTGGCCTTGGTTCCCTTGGCCTTGGTTCCCCCGGCCTTTACCATTTCATTGCACTCCTCGTCCGCCGCCATTCCTTCCTCGCCCCTTTCCTCCACCCCTCCCCCCGTTGCCTTGATTGCCCTGCCCCTAGTTCCCACCTCCAACCACGCTTCCCTGTGAACTAGGAACGGGTGACGGCGGTGGGGCCATAGGCTGGGCCTGGGCTGTGGGATAGATAGGGGGTGGCATACTCGTTGGCGGCCCAGCATAAGGTACTACTTGTCTAGAAGACGTCGACCCTCCCCAAGGCACATAGGTGTTAATCACGGGCCATGGCCACTGCCCAAAAGGTGGTACTGGCGTCTGCGAAGGGCTTGCACTAATCGAAGGTGCCGACGCACTCGGGGATGCAGCTACCACCGCTTGGGGCTTCTGGCCCTTTCCCAAACCTTGCCCCCCTTGCATCACATTGCGCTGCCGGCGCTGCACTTTCGAAAGGTGCGGAGGTACCGTCTCCCCTTCTTCCCACCCTTCCTGGGCAGCTTCCTCTATTATGGGCTCTTTTGTTTTTCCCTGAATCGCCGCCGCCACCTTTTTCTGTATCAGCGGGTCTAACTCTGTTAGTATGTCGGTGATAATTTTCCTTACTCCTGGAGTTTCGGATGTCGTAGCATCCCTCTCCTTTCTCTTCTGCCTTTGCAGCCTTACCTGGTGGTGCTCCTCCTGGTCTAGGCTCCCATCGTCTACCCCCTTATCAATGGTGGCCCAGCTGAGCTTAGTACTCCCTTCTCCATGACTTGTCAACTCCTGGGCCTCCGAGGCAGTAAGTAGCCCCAAAAAGATAGCACACTGTGTCTCCTCAGAGATCCCATGGACCTTCCTTGCCCTTTTCTTAAACTCCTGTACGAAGGCCCCTATCGTAGTGAAGTTATCCTTATTCATTGCTTTCAGGTCTCCCGTAGTTAGCAGGTCATCGCCCAATCTGTACTTCCTTTGCATTCCCTCTCTAAACGTGGCCCAATTGCCGTTGGCGTCATTGACCACCCTCTGCACCTCTTGATGGTGCCCATAAAGCACATATCTCATGATCCGCTGGAATTTTACCGCATCCGCTAGCCCCACCATTGCTTGTTCCACCCCATCCAGCCAGTCTGAGACTCTCTCTCCATTAAAGTGAAAGGTGTTGACCTTAGGGACATTGCTTGGGGTCTTCTCATGCCGGTCAATGGCCGCAATAAGGTCCTCAAGTGTCAGGACCTTCCTGGGGCCATCTGATACACCGTCACTTTCCGGCATCTTGACACCCTTTTCCTTCAGGCTCCCTGTTAGAAAAAAAAAACAAGGACACTCACCTATTCAGCATCCTATCTCAAGAGGGTCTATCCTGTATGCCCTTTCTAACTTCCTCATATACTTATCTGACTCGGATACGGACATTCCTCATAGCCTTCCTAACTCAGGTAGGTAGACAGGGCGGACATACAACGTTACTAAGCCCCCCTACTTATACTTAGTCACTCATTATTTTCCTTACCTTCTCATCATTCACATACAACGTTACTAAGCCTCCCTACTTATACTTAGTCACTCATTATTTTCCTTACCTTCTCATCATTCCTTTATACCTATTCTCATTCAATCTCATACCCGGATCTTGTTCCACCAGGGACAACGGTAGGCAACCGTCGTCCCCGGCAACGGCGCCACATATCGAGCGCATTGGTCCGGCATCGCACCAGGGCAGCGCGGGACCCTCCCGGCCGCGTCACGCAGGATTGGGTTTAAACCCTTCGTCGCAATATACATGGAGCTTCCACAAGCCGCTCTGGCCGAGTGCACCAGCCATACCTCTCGCGAGCCCCTACGACAGGATAGGGCCTACGCGAGGCACGACTTACCTACACCTTATGGGAGTTGTCACCTCCCTTCGGTGGGCGTATCCCCGCCAAGCTACCAGTCCACAGTACGAAAGCTAATTAGTTGCAATCGCAGAGGTGGACCAGCCGACGGCGTTTCTCGTTCGCTGTAGCATAGGGGGTACGCGCGGTAATACGCCTCTATCGAGCCCGCACGCGGGCCGACATCTTGGGGGGCTGAAGTCCCAAGCGCGACTCGTCGTCGGTCGACTGGGACGCATTCCACACACCACGCGCACAACACTCTACGAATACAACAATAAAACACACACATACACACACGCATACGAAACGACACAACACAAACAACGCAACAACGATCCTAGCCCTTCGGTAGCCAACCCATAACTTTCTGATGCGGAAATCGGATAGGCGTCGCACGTGAGACTTATTATAAACCCGCGCGGACGCAGGGCTAACTCATATCAACTCGCGATGCAAGCGTACGCAAGCGGTCGCAATGATGGCGTACTATGTAGTGCCCATAATCAAGCGGTCCCTCGTGGATCCGAGTACCGCTTATGACACTCAAGTGTCAGACTCGAAGTATCGTGAGGGTCTACTCCCTCTCGATATTGCACGGCTGAAGGAATAGCCGTGCGACCGCCGCGAGACCTCATGCCTTTGGCTTGAGTGTCTTGGCTGGCTGGATGAATAGGCTCTGCGCGAGGGAAAGTTCCTTCCATGCAGAGCCTAGGGCTTGGGATGTCCTGGACAAGGACCTTGAATCCCGGCCTAGGAAGAAACGTCCAACTAAGAACCCCCAAAAGTATACAATCAGGAGGCGGGGGAGCTTCTGCCTACCCCACCCTTATTTAACCCTTATTACACTCGCTTTTGGGCCATGCGACTTCCAAGATAGGTACACACATATACTTATATACAAGGGGATAATTATGTGACGATCACTTCTCACGATCACAGCGGGGCTCCTCGCAACCATAGGTATATGTGTGATCGCAGACAGTCGGATCCAAAATCCGAACCACAAAAATATACCTGCAATCACATAAAAAATCCAACAAAGTCCACGCACTACACGGAGTCAACCCCAACCACTTTCTGTACTCATACCCCTTGCTTTAACCATGCAAGCCCCAACCTACTATCTTACCAACCATAATTAAATACTCAGTACTTCTGTTAAATGCCCATTCAATAAAAGTCCGGCTCAAAACCTTTATAAAACAATGAAAATCACCAGGGCTAAAGCCTTTTAGGTTGAGTGTGGAGGGTGAGTTGGAATTGAGTCGTAAACCGATGAATCGGCAACCGACCTGTTATCAGGGATAACAGATAATGATCCTCAAGGGATCAGGTTGAATCTAGTCCTGAACTTGAATCAAACCATCAAGAGGAACTGTAACACATGACAGGTCGATGCCCCAGACCAAATTAATGAGTCCATGGAGAACACTCTTCATATCACGATCTTATCCAAGTCACCCTAGTTAACTATGTCTAAATCTACCCCTAAGCAATATGACAAGTCTTCCCTTAGTCAGAGTGGACTATCAAGATCGTCACTTGTCAAAAATATAATGGATCCTCCTTAAACTAAGAAAATTTTGGCAGCGCTTCTCGTAGGAAAAGTATCTTTCCAGAATTTACATAAGTCCAGATATGAAAGCAGAAATAATTTCTAACTTCGGCAAGTCTGTCTAACTCTTCGAAATAGTAGAAATTTGGGCAGCAATCTCTTTAGAAAGGGAGACTTCCCAGATTTATACCAAGTCAGATATGAAGGCAGAGATAATTTCTAACTCTGGAAAGTCAAATTTTGTCTAACTTTATGAAATAGTAGAAATTTGGGCAGCACTCCCTATAGAAATGGAGACTTCCCAGATTTATACTAATTCAGATATGAAGGCAGAGATAATTTATAACTCTGGAAAGTCAAATTCAGTCTAACTCCTTGAAATGGTAGAAATTTGGGCAACACTAAAGGGAGACTTCCCAGACTCATACTAAATAAGATATGAACTCGAAAGACAACTCGAGTTCAACTTTAGAGAGAATTTAACGAACTCCTTCATTATTTTGTAGAAATTTCGGGAGCACTCCCTCTAGAAAAGTGTTATTCCAAAATTTATATAAGGCCAAGCCCAAAATTTTAAAGTAATTTTCACTTCCCAAGGTTCAATTTTGTCTAACTCCCTGAATTAGCAAAAATTTGGGCAGCATTCCCTTTAGAAAAAGCGACTTCCCAGATTTTAACTAAGTGAGATAAAAGAAAAGACAAAGCTGAACTTTTGACAAGCCAAAATCCAACAAACTACTTGTTTTTTTTGAAATTTCGGCAGCGCTTCCTGTAGAGAAAGTAGCTTGTCAAGATTTATACAAAGCCAAGTATAAGAAACATCTCAGAAAATGCAAGAATTGACCTAAGCAAAAAAAAGTTATTACAGAAAATGCATGAATTGAGACTAACTCCTATGGCTCTGGCACGTGGCGAACAACTAAAGCGACTACCTATCAACCTGAAAGTCAGACTAAGTAGTAGCTTCACTCACTCACATGCAAGCCAAACCACAAAGGTAAGTACTCTCACCAACCCCAAGTCAGCCTGAACAAACAATAGTTCATGATCTCTCAATGATTTAACCCTTTATACCCATCTTACATAAGGCATAGGTCAGGCCGCCTGAACTTACAGAGCGCACCCAACTTAGTCAGGCCTAGAGTCAGAATACCTAAACTTATAGAGCGTTCTGACTTGGCCAAGTATACACGAACAGAGGGCACAACTACTTTTCTCTTCTTTGGGCACATGACTAGTTCACTCTAGTCGCCCTGGACTGTTTAAGATATCCAAGTTATATATACTTATTTTCGCCTTTGTCTTCTAAGGCTGCATATGACTGAACTAACTTAAGTTCAGTCTGCCCTAGTTTACCATCGATTTTATTCTTAGTTATACTCTCTTCAAGTTATTATATGGCTATAGTCAGACCACCTAAACTTATAGAACAATCTGATTAGCTCGTTCTTAAATAGAATAGTAATAAAGTATAGCCAAATTATAACCATTGGATTCCAGCATGTGCGAGGCTTTAAGCCAGACCCCCTTAACTTACAGATGAGTCCAACTCTCTGCCAGATTCGTTTCTATCAAAGCCATTATGTGTGTGGCATCGAGTCAAACCCCCTGAACTTATAGAAGAGTCTGCCTCTTTGCCAATATTATTTACTTAGAGTAAAGAGCAGGAAGGGACACAGCCACCTGAACTTACACAACGCATCGGTCCCCTCGTTCAGAAACCAAACAAACAAGTAAAATCCCAATGAAAACAAGGCAACCCAAGGCACCAAAACTTATTGAGTGCCCTGAGTCCCTGAAAATCAGGCACAGTCAAACCCCTCACAGGTCAGAGCAGTCAGGCCACCTAAACTTATAGAACAGCCTGACCCTCCATGCAGACCACAACACTGGGTCTCCCCAAACTTATGGGGACATCCCAGCCTCCAGAGCAATCATACCCCCTAAACTTATAGAAGGGTCTGACTTCTCCACGCAAAACCAAAATAAAACAAAGCGCTGGGGTTCCCCAAACTTATGGGGACTCCCCAGCCTTAATGACTCGGTCAATCATCATACAAATCCTCCCATCATCCTGCCCTTCCCTGATGTGTTTCTTGTCAACAGTCTGATTTCATACAATCAACAAAACTGAAACTTAGACTTGAGCAGACATTCCTTTATTTAGTATTGTTCAGTGTCCTGAAAGTCAAGCCAAAAATAGAGTAAGGTTGCACGTCATATATTCAGTCAGCGATGCAATGGGTAGTATAAATAGGGGTTATAGCTCGGGTGTATAGAGGGAAAGCAATGGTTACCTGTTAGTTCCCTGCCTCCAGAACTCCTCCTGAGTTCCGGCAGAGCTCCCGCAATCGGTGGGTTGACTCCCCACAGAGTCTTGATGCGGTCCAACGGGTTGCAATCCCGCCTACCGCCTTCTCCCCAGAAAAGCACTAGACTTAGAGTAAGAAGGGTAGAAGTAGAAGGTTTTGAGACTCTCAGATACCAGAGGGGTGCTCTCAACCTCACTGGAGAGGGCCTTGTTTCCTTGACTCGCCTAAGGGTCCCGCAATGGCAGCCAATGTCACAGCTTGGTCAGCCCATGGAGTCAAACTATCACGGCCAACCCTCTGCCGACCTCCTAACCCGCAGTACCAACCTCTCTACTTGTCCAGCCTGACCACCTCTCCGAGCCTTGCCCGATCGTGGTCACTCAGCGGCATGCAACAGCCTCCGGATGCAGCTGCAATATTTTCAACAACGTTCAAATAGCAACAACGACAGTTGCTAGCCGCTGCAACCCACACATGGTCCACAGAAATGCCTCCTACCCAACAGCAATAGTGACAGTCCTCTGCAGCAGCAATCCACAGCAACACAACCAGTCACTGCGCAGCCCGCAGTACCAG